ATCGAGCAAAGTTCGAAGTTCCTTCAAACTTTTAGTTGGATAACACAATGAAATAGATGTCTACGTATATTATCAATAAAACAGAGAATTGAAAGGAACATCCATTCGCGTGTTGTTTCGTTTCAATGAAATAGTATCGTCCCGCGACGGTGACGTTCGTTCCTTTGACGCCTGCGTATACCAACTATAAATACACGACACCGTGACAACATAACAGAATCATTTTGCGCCATCTACTCGCCCGTTCACAGTTCGCATCGGGATTGTCTGAGCAACGAATGGACATATCACTAAATGCCGATGAATCGGAAGGAACGAGGCGAGGAAGCGGCAAATGAAAGAGGAAGAACGTGAGATATGTAACGCGAACCGCGTGTATTTACACGCGCGTTGCTCTCCAGCGAGTGCTCTCTTACGATGCACATTGTACGACCTTGCAAGCCATGTGCGAATAACGGCCTTAGGCCTTCGTGCGGCACTGCGCATGCGCGTGTGCGCGTCTCGTGCACGCGTGCGTGCACGCGTGAGCTTCCACGTCCGCGTTCGCGCCCGTGCCCGCGCCTCGTTCCTTCCTCTCTCTCTCTCTCTCTCTCTCGGGGAATCCGGCAAGAATTACTCCCGCTGGCATAATTAGATCTCGTAACGATGACCATGGCCGCTCGTTCAATTTATTCGCAGTCGCTCTATCGAACGCCTCTCCAATTCTCTCTCTCTCTCTCTCTCTCTCTCTCTCGTTTCTGTTGTTCCTGTTGTCGTTTCATTTCGGTTGGGTGAAAGGTTTGTAATTAACCGATGATCTTTGTCCATGATGCGAATGAATTGGTTGTTTCATTGGTTGTAGTTGATATCGTTCGCATATTTGGCAGTATAGCAGATAACTGGTGCATAAATATGAATCACTGTGACAAATGTACGAAAAATACCACAGGTTTCTGATAGACCTAATAAATCGAAGGTTATATCTGCACGTGTTCGATAAGGTCACAAAAATGATAGAGCGATGTTGGAAAGAAGTTCCTTACCGTTTCATTATCGATTGTTTATCGGCATTTATCGTCTCGTATGATTCCGTCTATCTATAACTATTATTGAAAACTCCATCGTGTTACTCCAAAATTTATCAACGAAGGCACAAAAGAATCGATGATTAAGCTGGAAATAACAATCGTAACTAATCCTGCCAAGATGTAAGATGAACGATCATCTGCCGTCTCGTTTTGAGGTGAAATGTTATCGTGACCGATTAAAACGCTTTCCACGGTGATTAAAATTGATTGGCCGGTGTATTTACACAAACGATTCAAAAAGATGTATCGTTAATGGCAGAAAGAAACAATGATATATTTTCTGAAATCGGTAATCATTCGAATATCCAATGAAGCACGTTTCTAGGCTCGACAATCTTCGATGATGGTTGCGCGGAAAAAGACGAACGAAAATCGCATGCAAAGTTAAGTCGCGCGATGATGATCGGTAAATACATTTATCTGACCAGCGAAAACAGTCTCAAAGTGTAAATATCGTTTGTCGACACAGAATGTACGCTCGATTCGCGTTATCTTTGCTAAATCATTCGGAATTATCGATTTGTTGAAGCACTACGACGACGTTCGTTTCCGGATGTCTCTGTTTATCGTCTATTACCGTCCGCTTCCCCTTAATGCGGAAAAGTGGAGAGACCGTATTATAGTCTGTCGAGTAGCTCGTTGCAAGATTAAGCGACCATAAACTCGGGCTCTGACACAGAAACCAAACTTACGTAGATAGAATCTTGAAATGTTACTGATAAAACATCTGTCGCGCAAGCATTCAACATCACCTAAAGCGTCCATAAGCTCGTGGATTCTCGCAGGCATTACAAAATCTGCGCTCGGATGAACGATCGAAGGGAATCTGTCTAGATTGTAAATACGGAATAGAACAAAAACAGTTGGTGGGTCACAATGATTGCTACCGCTGTCACGATAAAAAGAAGTTCTTATCATTTTTATTTCTTTCTCCGTTATCTGTCTCGTTATTTCATCCACTTACCTATCTGTTCCTTTTTTTCTTCTCCATTTAATCGTACCGATTCATGGATTTCTACGCAGTTGCTTACTTAAAATTCACGCCACGGGTACGTGATGTCCGATGCTCTCGGTCGCAGTTTCCGTTTTGTGTACCCCGCATTATCGAAAGAATAATTACGCAACAAATACTTAAGTACACACAACAAACATCGTACGTACGACGAGCGGGTGCAAAGAAAAAAGAAACGAAAGAATGCGGTATCGTCGCATATTATCGTCGTGACCTCACTCCAACTTTTTTACTCGGTATCACTCTCTTAACCGGAAGAAAGCTGTTTGCACGCGTCATCAAGGTATTCTGATGACAAGTCACAACAATTTTGCCCGATCGAAAAAAATTCCAACAAATAATCCTTGACGTTAATATTTATACGATGTATCCGCTGTAATTACAAATTCTATCATCTCGCGTATATTCCAATTCTGAGTACTTTCGTCTCGACGAGCTCGAAACAGAAACCCGAAAGAACGAGAATCGAAAGTTTCCCGTTTGCCTATCCTCGAGCTCACGATGCCATGTTCTTCTCCTACGCTTCTTCGTATCTGGCTGACCCACTTCCCCAGCTACGAACGAGAAACACGAGGAGCTAGGGAAAGGATCGAGCGTGGTAGAGCCCAGTGAAATTACTCGCTCGCTGGCTTCCTACCCGAGCAGTGCTTTTCAAACAAAATCATGGTCGAACTCGCAATACATGTCCATCTTACGAATTCCGAATCGCTAATACTTTTGATTTACAGGTTCCCTTGAAATGAAATTCGCCATCGTCACTGATTCTTCATTTGATGACACTTTTTTTTCTTTTTTTTTGTCCCACCGATGGACATTGTTTGCCGATTAAACAAAACGAGTAACCTAAATAAAAGTGCGCGATGCGGATCGAGGCCCAAGGACACGTGTGCTACAGGTATACATGCGCGCCCGTCTGTTTTTAAATTGATTTTTAAACCGCGCTCGTTACTTTTCATGCAATGCCAGTGAGCACTGTGCCGAATTCCGCTGATCTCGACGCAATTCGTTCACCGTTTCGGGACCGTTCGTGAAACGAATCCGTTTCTCGCTCTGGTTGAAAGGAGTTTCCGATATCGATTATAAATTACGGTTACGCCGACTGATCGTTGCTTTTACTCTCTACAGTCCGTGATACACATTACCGAGATGCGATTGCGATCCCTCCTGTTGGACGCATGTGAATCAATAAGAGGAGAAAGAGAAAGAGAGCAACAGACAGAAAGAAAAGGAAAGAGAAAGAGAATCACGTAGCGCACCTGCAAACGGATTTCCTTTCTTCGAATTTGGCGCCATCGGGAAGTAACGCTAACTTCAAACTCGTTTATACGATACGATTCAAAAGCGACAAAAAATACTAAGTATGCAGGAAGAGATTTCGAGCCTTAGTTTCGAGAGAAAAGCTTTTCGTTCTTTACAAGCGGTTTTTCATCGCATCGACGTGACCGGAAGCTGTCGGTTCTAGAGCGTCTACTAGAACAGTCGAGGACAGCATGCATTAGTATTCTTTCAGAGACACGCGGTTGGAATAAAAGGTGTCCGGGCATGTTCTCGGTAGTTCGCCACGAACGATCACGTACTTACATATACATAGCTATGGACATGTGGCTGAGAAGCGTCAAGTGGATGCACCGCGTCACTCGATCCTTGTACCTCTTGACGGAGGCTTCTCTTATGAAAGAGCCTGTAACTGGGCTACTACGGTTACCGTAGCGTGCTCCTCGCAAGCCACGAGTTTTTCGATCCTTTGCGGTCTTCGCACGAGCGAAGATATATTGTGAGATCTCAAATTTTTAACCATCTCTGATACATCTCTGTAGTTTATTTATTGTGTCGCACGACCACAGAAATGAAGAATAATAATAATTGAAATTTAGCATCACATAATG